TTTCTTTTTTATGTATAGGTATATCATCTATTCCTATCATGAATACACAAAAGTTTTACATAAAGATATTTAAAATTTTTAAGGGTATTTGCTAAATTAGGGTATTTGTGTTTTTGAGATAATATATAAAGTATTGCAGTCTATTATGCAGAAATTAATATATTATGATTTTTTGAAAACATTAAAAACTTTTTCAAACTGCGTAGTTTTTAAATTTATCACTGAGACGCATGTTTATAAAATAATTCTCAATTTAAAAATAAAAATCTATCACTATTTTACTAAAAAATGTCTCTTACTTTTTATTCAAAAACTTAAGAAAAAACTAACTTTAAAAATAAATAAAAATACAAGCAAAGGTAATCAATCAAGATCACAGTATTTTATCAAGAAGTATAGGTAATACAATTTAATTGTTATGAGTTTATTCAAACAGGTATTTTAGCCTGATTACTTTAAAAATTATTCTATTAAAATTGTATTGTAGGTACCTACATTACTGCACTATGGTAATAATGAGTTATCATCCAAAATACAGCATTTTATTATGAGAGTTGGTAATAAAATTCAATTGTTAGGTGTGCTCTTTAAAACAACTGAACTAAACAGAATTATATAAAAATAATAAATTACATAAATACCTTAGTTCGATTTGTGTTATAATGTATATCACGTATTTGATCACATATTGGACATCATTATTAATTTAATATACTTTAAAATTGTTTATGGGATTGTTTTAAATTACACAYCAACAGGGGTGTCATTTCACATTTTTTCATGGGATGCAAAACCAATATTGAAAATCTAAAGTAATATCATTATATCAAAGTTGCTCGCTTCGCTTGATTGTGTACCATTTTATTATTTGTATCACAGGACACAGATTATATAATATTTTAAATTATAATAATCCGGTTGAATTATACATGTGAAAAATATTATATTTGTTATACACAGTGGTGCTCCACAAAATTTTAAGGTAAATCAAAAAAAAATACCAAAATTAATGTTATTTGTTTTATACTATGATTCTATGAAAGGATCTACACAAAAAGCGTGTTAAAAAAAATTCATGGGATGCATTTGTACACCCTTGCATCCCGYAAATGACGCCACTGCACGTCTGCACATCAACATAACATTTTAATCTCTAATATTCAAATTATTTATTAATATATAAAAATAATGATAATTCAAATTTACGTGGTATTTGATCAATCCTGATAAGAGTGATAGTATTTGCGCCGAATAGATAATATCTCAGGCATCACGCATGTGCAATACGAATTATTACGTTTATTAAGATTATCTTAATCGGCATCAGACGTCATATCAATATATCATTGACATTGAGTCACTGTACTATTACTATATAGTGGTACTACATCGTTCGGTTATTAGTTTATTACTATTTTACTAATATAAATCTTTTCAGGATTCAGTCCTTAGTTCCTTACTCTTTTCTACATTCTTTTCACAATTCATGATCCTCAATCCTCACCTACCTATTTATTAATATAACATAAATATATTCTGTAGTTCTGTACCCTTTCTTCTAAGTCTATTGGCATATTCCATAGTAAATTACCTGAATTATTACTTATAAGTTGTAAATGTGATGTGAATAATATGTGATAGTGTATAACTGTATTATAATATATTATATTATCAATTTAAAATTTTAAGATTTCTGATATTAAGAATTAAATATTGTTCGCCCCAGAATCCGAAGCAAAACTAAAACATAAATGGCTGTTGAAGTAAAATTTTTAAATAATTAATACTAAATTGTACAGTCATACTTTTTTATTTTACTTATTAATATAATTGTTTCAATACACCAAGTATTTTTACAATGTTTTTACAGTATATAAAATTAATTAATTAAGGTTTACAAATAAGATATGGATACATTTTAGCTTAATTATCAGTAGATAGTCCTCATCTTGAACTTCAAGTGCTTCAAGTAAAATATCTTGTGGTAGCCTTTAATCTGTGGTTTTTGAATTTTTTTCCAATGTTKAAGTGAAGAGCACCTTCTTTTGTTTTTGATTTCGAATGAAATGTTTTTAATTATTCATTGATCCATGTGGTTCAATGTATGACATTCCAGTGTCATTGTGGAGTTGTGTGTTTTGCATGGGGCTTTAAGAGCTATCCTGAGAAATTTGATTTGTATAGTTTGTAATTTTTGTTTCGGATGCGGCTGCCTATACTAGGCATGTATGTGTAATTAATAGTCTTATTATTGATGTGTATATTAGAAGTGAGCATTTATTCTGAAGTGTTGAACTGTAATTTATTAAGGGGATATGAGATTTTCAACTGTGTATAGGCTTGGTTAAATTTTTTTATTTATATGCATTTTCCATGTTCATTTTTCATCCTAGTTATTTAATTGATTGATCATCATTATTCCATAATATAGATGGATTTTTGATTTTTAATTGAATTTGATTTGTATATCTCTTAAGGGYAAACAGTCATACTTAAAATTTAACTATTAATAATAGCTTGAATARTATTCTTAATAATAATAATTATTATATCATCTTTTTACTTACTCATAACAGTCATAACTCTAGTGTGTATTATTTATTGTTCCATCTCCTGTTAAATATTAAAATGATAATGAATAATAATAGATTAATCATTATGAATTTAGTATGTTGTATAACGTGTTGGGTGTAATACTTTAWTATAAATWAAGTRGAAACATTAATTATTCAAATTCAAACATTCTTTACCATATAAGTGTAGTAAATCTGAAAAATTGAAGCACATAATAATATTAATTAGGAATAAAACAAAATTTGGTWTAATAATGAAACATTACATTTCATGATAATTTTAAAAGTATTAAATTAAAATATTTAGGACAAAAAGTTGGCCATAAAAAGAAAATTTTTGAGATATGTTCATCCATTAAAATCCATTACCAATGCTTTGGATCAAAAAGAATGTTGGATAGAACAGATGAAGTATTTGATTCAAGATTTTAAAATTCTTCTCAATTTATCATTTAAAGAGTAAATATTTTAAACATAATTAGTACATATTTGAGTTTATTAATAATTGTATTGTAATGTTTTAGATTTTGGTCTACAGTTATTTATAACAAACAATCTACTATGGGATTATGTACATTTCTTCAAGAAGCTGCTCCACCTCACTTGATGGATCAACTTCCACAGGATATTGATGTGTTAACCATTTACAATGAAATTGATCATTTTGCATATAAATTATTTAAACGGCTTACTACGTCTTCTGARAATGAAGTATTAATATTCATACTATTCTTAAAAAATGAATTATTGTTTTTATTTTATTTTACTAGGATAATTATATGTCTCCTCATTATATGTGGAACTTGTTATATAATAACAATATTATAAGTATTCCTATGTTATATGATATGTGTTCCATTTATGGCCAATCATATAAAAAGGAGTTAGAAATAATTTTAAATGAGATGTTTACTTGTCAACAATTATACAAAGAAAATTTAAAACAYTCCATTCAATTTACAATTAAAGTGAGTTACATCAAATAATAAATTACAATTTTTTAATAACAAAATTGTTAGTGTTTAAGTCAGTTTCAAGACAAAATTGAATTAGACATTGAATATGGTAATCACATATCTCAAAGTAATAAAACCTCTACCGATA